CAAATACTAGTTAATAAACACAGTAGTATCAAGTTCGCAAAAAACAACAACAAAAACACACATTGAGCGTCAAAAAGATCATAACTACAAATATTTGATTTCCTTATATGATGTTTATCTATTAGTTGAGAATACATCGTATTCAAATAAGTTAGTCATATTTCTCCAAATTTATAAATATGGCTTGAGAGTTAATTAGTTAAGGCAAATGTGCAACCGGTCAACGAGGGACGATAATGATGGTTAAATTATTCTGTTAGAGAAAACCGTGCACAGTGCGAATAAATACAATATAAATACTAATTCATTTAAGTGTAACATAAATGCAAAGTTTCAATATTATGCCTAACAAAATATTGTCAATTTGTTCCAAATTCATGGTTAGAAATCACACTGTAACATTCTCATCTTATGAATATATATCAAAGTGTTCTGAGCTCGTTTCAATAGTATATGTATCAAAGCGTTGTCAATTAAGCACACTAATATTATCAGACTTAAAAAATTAATAACAAACAAACGCAGCTACAGCGAGATATATTCTTATGTCCCCCAGTGACTCAGCGGTAAGCTTTAGGACTTATGACGTTAAACACAGTGCAGACAGCCCATTTCATAGCTTCGTGCTAAAATAAACAAATAAAATAAATTCCAAAACACAAAGGAGTCGTCAAAATCTCATATATAAAAGTACCTATGAAGGTCGTTTAGGGGAAACGTTGAGTTTAATTACCTTCCCCCTTACATTTCTTTTCATTTTCCTTCAAGACAAGTTTTAATATACTATAGTTCACTAGAGTTCATTTCAGTCTTACTTTGTCATTTGACCACATTTTTTATACTGGACATGCAATTTTGTGGTGGATAAAACTTCAATATTATGAGCACTCGCTGATATTTCCTTTGCAACCTTCGAATTAGGGAGAGAAAAAAAAGCAGGATATTATTAAAGCACGCTCAAAAATATTTTGTCAACACGATTTATTCTTTTTGTTCAGTATGTCTGCGGACTTACAACGCTAGAATCTGGGTTTCGATACTCGTGGTGGGTAGAGCACAGATAGCCAAATGTGTAGCTTTGTGCTTAATTACAAACAAACAAACAAATCGTTTTGTTCAATGAAAGATTCCCACAATCAAAAATCTAAATAGCCTTACTTACTTTTGAATTCACCATAAACAGAAGCTACTAAGGGTTTTAGATCTAATAATATTAAAAGTAATATTTAAAAACGATTACTTAAGCGTGAAAAATTTATGAAGATACAGTGAAATTCTCATGTCTGATCACAAGAGAACCAACCAGTATATATTAATGTCCACTGTGTTTGCAAATATTTCTTTATTAATGACTCTTATTTTTCTCAGGAAGACAGTCATCTACCTCGAGATGTAAAACACGCAGAATCGTCAGTGGTATAAATACATGCACTTTTTTAACCCTGAAAAGTTACACTCATCAACCCAACTACGTTAATAGTAGAATTTATAGATCTTCCCAATCAAAACTATTTAAATTATGAGAAATTCATTAGTTGAGAATTTTTTACGATCAAACTAACTGGCAGTTAATAACTTACACAGCTCAGTCAGAACTAAAAGTTCCCTGGTGGTATAGCGGTAAGTCTACTGGCTTACAACGCTAAAATTTGGGGTTTGATTCCTCACGATAGACACTACAATTTGTTTGTTTTTCGAATTTCGCGCAAAGCTACACGAGGGCTATCTGCGCTAGCCGTCCCTAATTTAGCAGTGTA